TTGCACATGGCACCCCAACCCGTGGTAGATGCATCCGTGGAGACGATGAGATGCCTGGAAACTCGCTGAATAGGGACGCCCGTCCGTAAAAAGCTGAGGTTCGACCACGGGAAGAAGGTTCGCCGGCATGCCGGAGTCACTGGGACTCGGAGCGAGCCGCGATGCCATGCCCACCTCGGGACTCGATCGCGAAGCCACAGCTGAAGCGGTCTCATATGAAGCAAACCGAGCGGCGTTGCCGCGGCCGCGGATGCCATATGCCCCAGGAGCCTCTGAAAAAGTTTCAGTGGAACCGCACTCTTGCCCTCGAACTGACGAAGACAAGTCAGCAGTGAGTGCGCGCGCTCGTTCGTGAGCTGCGCGGACATGGCGACCGAGTCTATCTCCACGCCGAGAAAAGAGATCCTCTGCACGGGGCAAAGTTTGCTCTTTTCTCGGTTGACCCGAAGGCCCAGACGGGCTAGGTGCCGGAGCACCAAGTCTCTGTGTTCGCAAAGCTGAGCTCGAGAGTGTGCTAATATCAGCCAGTCGTCGAGATAATTCAGGATGCGAACCCCGTGTTCGCGAAGGGGAACAAGGGCTGCCTCGACGATCTTCGTGAAGACGCGAGGGGACAGAGCTAACCCGAATGGGAGAACGGCGTACTGATATGCCTGGCCCTCGAAGGCAAACCGAAGAAACGGTCTGTGTCGAGGTAAGATGGACACATGGAAGTACGCGTCCTTCAGGTCGATCGCTGCAAACCAATCCTGATACCGAACACATTCGAAAATGCGTTTGGCCGTGAGCATTTTGAACGGTAGTCGATGGAGAGAACGGTTCAAAATGCGCAGGTCCAGGATCGGTCGTAACCCACCGGTCTTCTTGGGGACAATGAAGTAGGGGCTGTAAAACCCGGACCTCACCTCGGCTGGAGGGACCGTCTCGATTGCACCCTTCGCCAGCAGGGTCGCAATCTCCGCTCTCAGGACTGGGGCATTGCCACCGACTATCGTGGAGCGAACTCCCCTGAAGCGGGGAGGAGACCGTGCGAACTGAATCGCGTAGCCGAATCTGATCGTTCTGATGACCCAGCGGGATACCCCGGGAAGCGCTAGCCAGGCTTCCAGGAAGTGAGCCAACGGGGTCATGTGAACTACAGACGTCCCCCCGGAGGGGCAGCGTGGCGGGTCGACTGGCACGCGTGCAGGGATGACCCCGCTCGGATGCGTCGAAGCCCGCTCCCCGACAGAAGGGACCAGGGAAAGCGGAGCGTTCCACGGGGGTCCGTTCTGCCGGGGGTCTGGCGAGAGAGGGGGAAGGGATTGGTGTAGCCCGGGACGACACACGCACCCTTCCGCGCCCTCCGAGACAGAGAGGAGTGAGTGGGCCGACACACTGGGGCATCGGGGGCACTCACTCCAGTCTGTGAGCTCAGTGAGGATGTCAAGTCTTTCTTTAACCAGTTCAGGGTGCTGCCCACCCGTGGGTGAGCAGCGGGGAGCTGAGAACAAAAGATTCTCCCCCGGCCCTCCACCGGGGGAAGGAGGGGGCCTGCTACCGCCTCCTGGGAAAGACTCGAGATCAACACTGAGCTGCCCGTGTCAGGATCTTCGCTTGGCCTGGCGTTTAGCGGGGCGAGCGGCCTGAGGGGGCTGTGACGCCGGCCTGCGGCCTCCTCGACGCCGGGGCCCGGGTGAAGGCTGCTGCTGGGGCCGGGCGGGAGGGAGGGGAGCCACAGGGGGGCGTCCTCGGCGGCGAGCAGGGGGAGGCACCTGTGCCGACGACTGGGTGGAGGCAGCAGCTGGTCGTCGGGGCAGGATGTGTTTAATGGCCTCCGTCTGCTTCTGGGCAGTGGAGAACTGTTGGGCGAAGTCCTCGACCGCACCGCCGAAAAGGCCAACCTGGGATAGCGGAGCGTCGAGCAGACGAGTCCGTTCAGCGCTCCGCGTATCCGCCAGGTTGAGCCACAGATGACGCTCCTGAACCACGCTAGTGGCCATCACCTGACCAACGGCGCGAGCAGCCACTTTCGTTGCCCGGAGAGCAAGGTCAGTGGCGGACCGCAGTTCTTTAAATGCCGTCGGATCAGTCCCGCCCTCGTGCATGTCTCTGAGCAACTTCGCTTGGAAGACCTGCAAAGTGGTCATAGCATGCAGAGCGGAGGCCGCCTGTCCCGCCGCTCTGTAGGATCGCGCCGCCATAGCAGACGAGAACCCACAGGCTTTGGATGGGTGCTTAGGAGGACCACGGGTGGACGCGCTCTGTGGACACAGCTGCATCGCAACAGAGCGCTCCACCGGGGGCATCCCAGTGTACCCACGGGCGGCCCCGCCGTCGAGGGGGGAAAGGCGGGGGAGAGATCGCGCTCTCGAGTGGACAAAGGAGCCCCCCAAGAGCGCGATAACTCCGCATGCAGCTCGGGGAAAAAAGGTATTGGAGTCGGCCGTGGCTTTGCAGCGGCAGCCTTGTCCAAAAACCAATTATCCATCCGCGAGAGGTCGGGGCAGGATGGAGGTTTCCATTCTAGCCCGATACTCCCAGCGGCTCGAGACAGCATGGCCGTCATCTCGGGATCTGACGCGGACAACGCTGGGACTCCCGAAGGAGGCAACGCAGCCGGATCTTCCTCTCCCGAGGAATCAAGCCCGCCTAGTGATGCTGTGATAGACATCGCATCATCATCTGGGGCGCTGCTCGAAGCAGCCGGTGCCGCCGAAGAGACAACCGACCGAGTCGAACTAGCGCCCGCTGGCTCACGCACTGAGGCGGGAGGTGTGGCCCGAGGAATCGTCGGGGCTTTATCCCACACCGTCACCGTTAGATCGCCCGGTCCCCGGGTCGACGGGCCCCCTTTTGAAAAGGAAGCCGATCGAGTAGGGGGGACCGGGGCTCTCACTCTAGTGAGATCATTGAGCCGCGACCTCAGTGTGGAGATGGTCATGCTCCCACAGAAGGAACATGAGTCATCCACGAACGCTGCTGCTGCATGCTGAATGCCCAAGCAAACAAAGCAGCGTTCGTGACCATCAGATGACGATAGAAATCTACCACATCCAGAAGGGCACGGGCGAACCATCTTTAAAAAGACGTGCCGCGTGCAGCTCTTTTACAGAGAGGAGAGAAATTCACTCTTTCAGCGCTGAGGCTACCAGGGAGAAGCGCAAAGTCTGGCAAACCACTGCACAGATCGCAGGCAATGCAGAATCTCGCTGGGTACCGCCGTCACACCAACACTGAAGAGGACGCTCGTCTCGAAGAGTCTTGAATCAGCTTTGAGGAGTGAAGAGGTTCTCTTGGCTCCGAAGCGAAAACATACTGCGGTTGCGTTCACTTCCTCCTTTTATACTCACGGAGTAGGGCGGAGTACGCTATGCAAATTTCCGCAGCCCCAAGGCATTGCATGCCATTGGCTCGTGTTTTAATACTCGAAGAGGATTGGCTTTCTATGCGAAATCCCCCAATCTCCCAATCTCCGTCACTTCTGACGTAACTCGAAGTGACTACGAAAGGGAACTCATTTTTAGCTATATTTTACTAGTATTGTGATGTTTTGTGTCTCATAATAAGCTTGTCATGCTCAAAAATAGCATTTTCCCCTCAAAAGTAGCATTTTCTTTTGTCATCCTCTTTGTTTCAAGTGTATTTAACTAATTTTTAGTTCTATAATTGTTACACTCTTCTAGATATAAGTCACCACCAACTTGAAATAAGATTGGAAACTGGCATTTTGAGACAAAATGCCTTGAAGTTAGCATTCCTGACTCATATTAGGCAGTCCTCTTTTGCCATAATAAGCCATAATTTACCATACTGTAATCATCTCAAGTGTATACCTTCTTGTAAGCTCAACAAAAGTGACATGGTTCTAGATTCAAGACATTTTACCTACTAGATTTAAGACATTAACTACTGTTTACTAGACAGAAAAAGTGAAAAATAGACTTACATTTAACCTTTTTTATTTAATTTTTTAAACCGCAAAAATTCCCAGAGGACTGCACAAAACGGTAAAAGTATTTATGGAGCTGCAATATAAAAACATAGTAGAATATTTTATAGATTATAAATGAAAGATCTCTTTACCCTACTCCCACACCTAAACATACCGATTTTATAGACAATATTAAAGGGATAGTTCACTTTGAAATTAATTTTTGATGTTTTAGCTTACCTCAAGGGCATCCAAGATGTAGGTGTCTTCTTTTCCACAGTATTTTCAATTTTGACATTTTTCGGTCAAACCGTTGTTGTCTGTCAGTCATATAATGCAGGTATGGGGGTCCACGTCAAAGAGCATGCACAGAGAAGTCCAAATTAAACATGATTTAATGACTCGTAAATGTAAGTACACATTGATGGCCTAAGACACGAAACGAGCGTTTTGTGTGAGAAAACAAACAGTATTTATATAGTTTTTACCTCTTGTTCACAGCCATGTCAAACTGATCTGAATCAGATGTCAAACTGAACCGAACCGTGTCCAACATTACGCCAGAAGTGATCTCTCGCGCATCAGCAACATCTGATTCAGATCAGTTCGACATGGCTGTTTACAAGAGGTAAAAACTATATAAATACTGTTCGTTTTCCCACCCCCTCCGCTCATTTCGTGTCTTTGGCCATCAGTGTGTACTTACATTCAAGAGTCATTAAATCATGTTTAATTTTGACTTCTCTGTGCATGCTCTTTGAGGTGGACCCCCTAAACCTGCATTATATGACTGACAGACAACACAGGTTCGACCAAAAAATGTCAAAGTTGAAAATACTGTGGAAACAAAGACACCTACATCTTGGATGCCCTTGAGGTAAGCGAAAACATATCAAAAATTAATTTCAAAGTGAACAATCCCTTTAAAAGGATAAAACGTAATGAACATAATGTGTAGGGCAATGGCAGTTTTATTAACAATAAAGCATTAAAACATAGTTTGAGCCACTAATCCTACCCTAACCCATTTCTTAAAACTATGTAACTAACGTTACAATTATAAATAAAAACAACAAACATAACGTTACATGTTTAAATCGCAATAATTTATTTAGTGAGAAAATGTCAAAACCGGTACCAAATAAATATCTTTCTTCTTGTTCAGCAGAAGAAAAAAATTCATAAAAAAACAACAACATATTATTGCAAATGAACAAAGTTGAATCAAATATGTTTCTAGAACAGTGATTAAAATTGGCTCGAATATGTTTTAGTATGTGACATGAACTCTGGTGTTGATGCACTCTAAAAACATTTAATATGATTTACTAACCTTTTTAAACTTAGAATATTGATTAAATTTTTAAGCAGTGAAAGCAATTACTTACACTGTATTAACTGAGTAAATGTTAGTAAAACAAATTAAATAGATCTGAGTAACTGCATTTGGTACATTAACAAATAAACTTGAGTAGAAATAATTGGGGGGAAACATTTAAAAAACAAATAATTATGAGTAATATAAACTGTGTTTATATGGCAGTAATATTAACTTTTTTTTATTTCCTCTAAACCTTTGTAAAATATTCCATACAACCACCAGCATAACTACATGACACGGCCTTTATTGTCAATTAATATCCTAACATTACAGCAAACATATTTTATTCTATTTTTAACACATAAGTTATACAATATTGACTACATCTAAACTCATGTAAGAAACATTTTCGATGTAAAAATTAAACATTTAGGCCTAAACATTAAAGTAATTCAAGTGTAATAACCGGTCTGTTATCCAGTATTCACCGGGTCAGCGCTGGTTCCCATGCCGGAGATGGACTCGCCTCTGCGGGGAAACTTCTAAATTTAGACCGCCGTCCTGCGTCACTCACAGCCGAAAAATGCTGCGACGCGACTGACTCCATAACCTGCCAATAAACAACCAGTGCACAGTTCTGAGGACATTTTATCATCCAAATTAGTTATATCCATTATCTTTAAGAATATAGTCGTGTGTTTTTTTTATGCAAGGCCTTACAATCACGCGAAAAGGCAGGCGCAAGTCGACACTTGTTTAAGGTGAGTAACATTGCGTCTCTGTATGTTCTTTTTTCATTAAATAAAATTATTTAAAGCATATTAATGATTATACAGATAAAATAAAACAAACAAACCTTAATTTCAGGTGGAAATGCTCCAATTCTGCGCCGATGAGAAGAGAAGAGGAGAAGAGATCTGTTCTTTTCTGGACTGGGAGAGTTCAAACAGCGCGCAACCGCAAGTTCAAACAGCGCTCACTCAAGTTCAACCGTTGAGTTGTCGTCACGTCAGAGGGTGGGGAGGGGTGCGTTGTTGTAATCATAGACAGTAAAATACATTTTAATTGAGTAAACTTAATTAATTTCTTATGCGTGTTAAATAATAATATTAATTTTTATTTTAGAAATATTTGTGGTTCTTGAGACAGATCAGTTTAATCCAGTCTCAAATATTGTGATGGAAATTTCACAAATATTAGCTAAGTGTATTTTAAATTAATAATTGGTTAGTCAAAAACTAAATTAGCCTATTTTAGTGAAAAACTTAAATATAACTGTAAATTTCAGACAAAATTAATTGTTGGAGTTTTAGTCATTTATTTCGGTATGTTCGACTCAAACTATTGAGTAAATTATATTCAGTTTAGTTAATAAAGACTTCAACACTTCAACATTTAGGAAAGGTTTTTGTTTGTAGGTTGTACCATAGTAGTACTGTGATAAAGTTTAGAGAAATTGTCACAAATGAAAATGAAATCGATGCAGGATATAAAATGAAAACTATTGATATGTGAAATATGGAACTGCATCTTGTAGAACACATTCTAATAAAAATAATTTTGTAATTAAAATGTGCGCTTGCGTGTGTGTAGTTTAAATGTTGTGTTTTTAATCTAAGACAGATTATACAGTATGTAACCATGACTGATACAGGCATAGGCCCCTCGACTCAGTGCAGTAAATAAATCAATCAGTAGGCTGTACTTCCCTCATGCTGGTTCTTATCTTGTCCTCTGTTTATACACGTCCATGCTGGAAATTCATATTAAATTTGCATTTTTTTGTTTTTACTCCATGAAAATCTATATTGCTTTAGTTGTTTGTAGGACACATATTACATAATATGATTAAAAATACATTAATATTATGCAATTTATATATGTGGTTTTTGCATATGTCCCTTACAATATTCTGTTGGAACATATACAAATCACAGGAGTTTTTAGCAAACCTTTTCCATATGGGAAGGTTTTAAAGTATATTATTGTTAAACAAAGCGAGTTTGCAGCAAAAGGCACGAACAGAACGAAATGTTATTATTTATGAGTACCGTTAAACTATTAATAAATGAGACTGAAAATTTAATTGATAAGACAATTGAATGCAATAGAGTCAAAACCACGATTTTAATATGCATAAGTTAAATAGGAATACATACAAATTTGTATGTTGGTAAAGTTGTTTATACGTAAATAAATTACGTTTTTTGTTTGTTTGTTTTTTTTGCTGTCATGTCATTGTGAGTTGTTGAGTTGGGCATGTTGGCCTGCAGTTTTCAATGAAGCAGATTTGTCTCAATTCAAGTTAAGTCTGTTTCTTGAAACAAGATGATTCATCTTTTACAAATAACACAGCAGCTTAAAAAACTGTCAAAATGTCAAAAAAGCTTGTTTCATCTGAGATATGACTCAAAACAAGATATTTTTAAGACAGTTTCACTTAACAAGATATTCAAGATGCACTGTCTAAAAACAAGCTCCTGTATCTTACTTAAATCTTGGTCTTTAGGTAATTTTGTCTTATATTAAGTGAGCTGAGATATTTTGACTAGAAATTAGAAAAATATACTTGGCAAGATTTTGAGTTTTTGCAGTGTTGCGTACCGAACTGTACCGTACCGTACCACTCAGTGGAAACGAGCCATTATTTAGGCATTAAGATTTCCTCCAGACTGTCAGAGTTGGTAACACTCAACTTCACACCACTGCTAAAAAAAATAGAAGACGATTTGCTCAGGTGGCTCAACCTCTCAATCTCCATAATCGGCAGGATAGCAGCAATAAAAATGACAATTTTACCCGAAATTAATTACCTATTCTCAATGATTCCAACCCACCCCACACTCACTTGGTTTAAATCACTAGACTCCATTATAACTCGCTTCTACTGGAAAAATAAAATGCCAAGGATAAAACTCACTACACTACAAAAGGTTCAATGAGGACTAGAAGCACCAAATTTCCAATATTACTCAATGGCTAACCAACTGCAATACATATACAAATGGATTCACCCCACCCAATCTGATATTATATGGCTAGATATAGAACAATCACTATGCAAAGATTTAAATATAGCTGACATACCATTCCTCACCAAATCAATCAAACAACACACATGTTTTAATGCAGTAACTATAGCCACCACTCTGACAGCCTGGTGGAAATTTCACCAAATCACAAACTCTACATTAGCTCCAACCTCACTCCACTATGGAACAAGCGTGACTTTATAAGCTATAAAAAAACATTGAATTTTCACACATGGGCGGAAAGAGGCATCACCCACATTAAGCATATTTTCAAATCCAACACATTTAAACCATTTCCACAACTGGCCCAGGAGTATGGCATCGGGAACAACGAATTTTTAAAATACCTACACATTAAATCTTCTGTCCTGACAAAAATAAACATCAGAGATACAAATTTAGAACTTCCACCGGTAATATCAGACTTGGTCAACATTTCCTCTCCAAAGAAACTTCTCTCTAAAATATCCAAAATGATCTCAAATCAACTTCAGTCCATATACTTACCAACAATAAAATGGGAAAACGATCTTTCAATAGCCCCGGATGCCAACTTCTGGACCCAAATCTGTAAAAACATCTATCTTATGTCCAAAAATGTGAATCTTCAGTTAATACAGTACAATACAAAATACTTCACAGAACACATTACACGGGCAATAGCTAAAATGGGTTTCACATCAGAAGTTTGCACACATTGCAATCAAAATTCTACAGATACATACATCCATGCAACCTGGCATTGCACTCCAATCAAACACTTTTGAGAAGAGGTCACACAATTACTATCCACTATATTTGGCCACATCCCACTGTCGCCTTCCCTTTGCTTGCTGGGAGATCTCACAATAATCACTGATAAAACTATATACTCTAAAATACTCCTCATAGCTCTAACCATCGCCAAGAAAACTATCCTCATGAACTGGAAAACCAGAAATAAATTACACATTAACATTTGGAAAAATCTTATTACAGACTTCATTGCAATGGAACTCGCATCTCCCCTTCATAATTACACAACTGAAACTGACCTCTACCGTCCAACACTTTCTGACCTCTTACAGCTATGAATCCTCTCTCTGTTCTTAACTCCGACTCCTCCCACCTTCTTAACCAACCCACGAATATTTGTGCATTTTAATTGCTTGAACTTGTTTCTGTCATCATTGTTATTACTATCTTTACTTTACTGTTATGATTACTATTTTCACTTGTATTCTCTTTGTTATTGTTTCATTGTTGTGATTGCTGTTGTCGCTGTCTTTTGCTCTCACCGTTGTGATCACCACTGCCATCATCATTGTCATTTATTATTATTATTACTATTATTATTATTATTATTATCATCAATATTGCCATTGTCAATGCTGTAGAATTAGAATGTAGAACTAGAATTAAGTGTCATTGTCATCAATATTGCAATAACTTCCCCCTTATCTCTTCATGGGTTTTTAATGCACCACAACATAGAATAGGGAAAAAAAACAAACAAAAAAAAACACGCTAAACACCAAGGCAAGCAAGACAGGCGAGAAGTGGTTTCAACAGGACAGCATCTCTGGCCCAATTTGAGACACTCTCGCACTGTACTCCCTCTTTTAATGCACTTTAGACATTGCACATAACACACACACACAAAAAACAAAAAAACAAAAAAAAAAACAGTAAAATAAGAAAAGATAGGGACTGATGAGATGTGGGGGAAGGTTATCTTATATTATCTTATATTATATTATTTTATTATATCATATTATATTTTATACAGAATTGACAATGGCAATTGTTACATAGGAGGAAGGATGGAAATAACACAATATGGGCAGTATGGTTATGTATGGCAGTATGGCAGTACGATTTCAGACAATAAATAAGGGTCTTATCAAGCGAAACGATCACTCATTTAAAAAAAAAAAAAAAAAAAAAAAAAACCAAAGTTTAAGTTTTATAAGCTCAAATGGTTTTTATAAGTTTGCTCTGTTCTGTGATGCACGTTTGTGACTCTCCTATTCGAACTTGTTCATCAAAATGAACTAATCTTTTCCAGAGTCAACTTGTTCATTTGAACCAAATGACACGAAAAAAGATTTGTTCATTTTGATAAACGAGTTCAAACAGGAGAGTCACGAACGCACATCACAGAACAGAGCAAGGCGACCATTTGAGCTTATAAAACTTAAACTTTGCTATTATTTTTTTTAAATGAGCGATCGTTTCGCTTGATAAGACCCTTATTCATCGTCTGGAATCGTTTAAAGGGAGGGTTGACTGCGATTTCACTTTTTTCATTCTAAATAGTGTGTAATGTTGCTGTTGGTGCATGAACAGTATCTGCAAAGTTGCAGCGCTGAAAGTTCAGTGTAAGCAGTGATATCATCTTTTAAAAATCAGGAAGTATATTGCCTATAAAAACGACTCGATTGGGACTACAGCTGGGTTTTAGACGTTACTAACCCAACCCCTCCCTCCGGAAAATGCAAAAAAGGGCATGTGCATATTTCAGCAGCTCCAGCTCGTCGAGTGTGTTGTTCACGCAGCTGTCAGGTCAGCTGTCTCAGGCTAAACAGACGCATCAGCACCCGCCCTCTGGACAGCCACCTCACATCAGTGTGCATCAGCAGGGTATCGTAATCAGCGCCTACCTATTCGCAGAGCGATGTCGTTACGTCACTGTGCACGTCGCTAGAAACGCTTGCTAGTACATTGCTTTGGGATTATCTCTAACTCGTGTACCAAGAAAACTTTAAAAACAATTGAAATATGTAAGTCTTTTAATCTTTTCGTTTGATATGTAGTCTTTTCTGATAAGTTATGTACCGCTGTCTTGTGTCTTTTTTCTTTCCATTTATTTGTTCTATATCGTGACAGTTTTCTTCTTTGCTTATGTTTCAAATAAAAAAATAAAAAAATAAAAATGCTTGCGTGTTTCTGCAGTTTCTCCTGGCTTTGCGATGGTCAGAAAATATGTTTAGAACACATCTAAACCCGCCCCAGCCCCCGACGTAAACATGACGTGCTAAAAGAACGGTTCTAGTTGAGAGTTGGTGCCGCTTTGGAACCAGTTTTCCCGGCCGCGAAC